GATTCGCATGGAGGACGATTCAGTACTGTTTAGACTCTACATCAATGATCTTGTAGTGATCTTGATTGAGAAAGGGCATTCAAATAATAATGTTAATGTCCAAAGAATATGAGTTTTGTCATCATGATAATCGGTCACTGATATAGCCTCAGGCTTGAGCTTAAACACCAGTTTGCATGATCGCATTAAAGTTGGAGTGGGTGGCGGAGTTATTAATAGCATCCGCTTGAAATAATGATCCAAGGTTGAAAGAGGACCAGCAGGAAGACCGCTACCACATTCAAACCTGAGGTAGTCCACAGTCCACATCCTGTCAATACTTGGCCTCAATTTCTGAACCAGGTCTCAAATGATAGACACTGGACGTGGCTGGGTGACTGCTAGGAACATACAGTAATGCAATAGACAGACGCTGAATCGCCAAGGCGAGTAACGATGAGCATATCATTTTCAACGGAACAATGGGACAGCTCCACTGGTGCCTTTGGAGCGCCTAATGGATGTAATTTCGCAATCCGTGGGGTCCTTGGTACCATCTAGGATATACCCAGCCTTCACGAATGACGATACTGCTCCCTTGCCCTTTTTGGGAGGCTTACCGTTATTCCAGAAAAAGGAAGAGAACGAATCGAAAAAACATCACCAAGATAAAAAGTTTTCAGTACGTAGTACAAAGGATATTGTGTTCCTGTTGCCGCCGACGCAAAGGCAAATTTGAAATGGATTAAAATTATAACCAATGATATGGTGCTGCGGTCCAGCAAATATGGCGCCCCTGAGAGACGCGCGTGCATTATTGGGACACAGAGGCTCAGCACGGGCTGGGTTGATCAGCTCTGGTGGTGGACGCTGTGGGTGGTTGTCCGCCTAGGGAACTTTTGCGAGAACACCTAACAGAGCATGATCCAAGCATTACGGCAGTTTCAGCAAGAAATTCGATGGCTGACAAGGTCATCCATCATCCTGCGCATGTAGACCTTGTCATGCTGAAGAATCTTCGGCATATTGTAAAACCTAGTTCCCTCCCTGCATAAGTACACTGTAGACTTAATCTTCCCAGTATTATTTCCTATCCTTTGTTACTTGCTACCTACCTCTAAAATTCTGTCTCGAATTGAAACTGCAGCAAATCCACTCGACCCAGGGACAGCTGCCGGATAGTACTCAGTCTGTGACCTTAATTAAGGAATGCAGTGATCGCCTGTAATTGGTCCACTTCACAACGCAACCCCCCTGCTGACTCAGCTGTCGAGGGTGTTTCATCGGCATTCCAGTGGTCTCTCCTGCGACCAGACCTTCCCGTCCCATCCACACCCCCCCCGTTTTGTGTTTTCTGGAGAGTGTCAAGTGTGAAAGGGTGCCAGTTTTTTATCTCTTCTACTACCTTCGTTCTTTTATTTCCTTTCTTTGGTATCTCTCCTTACCGCTTCTCGACTACTGGTCCAAATCGGAGCGTTTTGAGAGAGAAAACAGAAAGAGACGGAGAGAACGACGGCTATCATATCTTTGGGAAACCCCGTCCCCTTGGTTGTCTTACCCTCTTAGGCTATACACTGTGTGTCGCCGTCCCGCTCGCTTCAATCGTCCAACGACTTCAATATCGCTCTCGACACTCTTTTATATACGCTGCGACATTCGTCACTCTTTCCTGGAATTTGTTACCGATCGCTTCGCCCTTGATTCGTGCGATCCTTTTCTCTCGTTTACCTGGCCTAGAAGACTCGCGCTGGATATCGATCTATGGTCCCTTCAATGCCTTCTTGAACAGCACGCCGCAATCAACCCGATCTTACTCGAACAATCTTTGAATCGACACTTTTATCTGGGTTCTACTGCTCGTTACCCTCGCTCCCACGTCATTACAATACAACCTTTGGTCGATACCACATTTCCGCATCCGGCCGGTCCTACCTGGTACTCTGGAGTACCACCTCCCATTCGACAGTGATCATTCCATCTTTTTGACTGTGATCTATTCTCACCTCCGTCCACGAACTTCTTCCCCGCTGCCGAGTGCAAAAACACAGCTCGACAGGGCCCTGCCACCATGCGGTTAATATCGCTAATCATCAGTTTGTTCGTCGCTTTTCTCGCAACACCGCTTGTGTCTGCGACTAAGCTCATCGAGTCCAATGCCTTGAACCTGTGTCAAGACAGTTCGAACTTCACAGCAACCTTCTTCAGTGTCACCTTCACGCCCAACAATCGAACATTAGCCTTTGCCTTTGATGGAGTCGCTGCGATCTCCGGTAAGGTTACCGCTGAGCTTGTCCTCACTGCCTATGGATATGAAGCACTGAGGAAAGAGCTGGATCCTTGCCAAATGAATCTGGCGGGTCTTTGCCCAATGAATGCTGGTCCCATCGATGTCCCCAGCGCCAATATCGTCGTGTCAGAGGATGTGGCTAAACAGATCCCTGGTGAGGATGCCTACCCTGACTGCTGTCTGAAAATGGTGTAATCTCGCTAACCGGTCATTAGGCATCGCATACACGGTTCCTGATCTTGACGCCAAGGTCCGGATCTATATCAACTCTACGGACACTGGCAAGAGTATCACTTGCATTGAAGCTAGTCTGTCGAACGGCAAGACGGTTTACCAGAAAGGCGTCGGCTGGACAACAGCCATCATCTCCGGTTTAGGTCTTGCTGCTTCCGCAATCACCTCTGGTCTCGGTCACTCAAATACCGCCGCTCATGTCGCAGCCAATGCTCTCTCTCTTTTCGGCTTCATGCAGTCGCAGGCTATGTTCGGCATGATCTCCGTTGCGATGCCGCCGATCGTCGAAGCATGGACGCAGAATTTCCAATGGAGTATGGGTATCATCCACGTAAATTTCCTGGAGACCCTTTGTACTTGGTATCAACGGTCGACCGGTGGAACGCCTACAACCCTTCTTTCGGAGTTGTCTACCACATCCGTCGAAGTCCTGAAACGCCGAAAACGTTCTACTGAAGCTACAACGACCCTGATGAAGAGGGGTGTCAACGAAATCGTGAAAAGAACTAGTGCGGCCAACGACGCGGCTACTTCCTCAACCGTCGTCGTGCGCGGCATTAAGCGTGTCGGTTTCGTAGCAGGCATTGAACAGACCAATATCTTCCTTACAGGTCTCATTTTCTTTGTCTTCTTCGTCTTCATAGTGATGGTCATTGTCGCTCTCTTCAAAGGCGCGTGCGAGATCCTCGCCAAGAATGGAAGGATGAAGAGTGACAAATTCTCTGATTTCCGGAATGGCTGGAAAGTCGTGGCACGAGGCATCCTGTTCCGACTGACCCTGATTGGTTTTCCCCAGATGTGCGTGCTGTGCCTCTGGGAATTTACCCAGCATGACTCCGCCGCTGAGGTGGTACTGGCGGTTATCATGTTTCTGTCAGTGCTCGGTGCTCTGGGCTGGGCTGCTTTCAAAGTGATCCTCCTGGCCAAGCGGTCGGTTGTCATGCACAAGAACCCAGCCTACATCCTCTACTCGGATCCCACATGCTTGAACAAATGGGGATTTTTGTACGTGCAATACCGTGCGACTGCCTACTACTTCGTAGTGCCGGTCCTGGTGTACCTTCTTATCAAGGGCATGTTCATTGGTCTTGGTCAACCGGCCCCTGTCGTACAGACCGTCGCCCTGGTCATCATCGAGGCCGCCATGCTCATTGCCGTCAGCGTTCTGCGGCCTTGGATGGACAAAAAGACGAACATCTACAACATTACTATTGCCGCCATCAACTTTGTCAATGCTATCTTTTTGCTGTTTTTCTCGGAGGTCTTCAACCAACCAGGAATCGTTACCGGTGTCATGGGCGTTATCTTCTTCGTTTATAACGCCGTTTTCGCGCTGATTCTATTGATTTTGGTGCTTATCGCATCTATCTACGCCATTGTATCGAAAAATCCCGATACCCGTTACCAGCCCATGAGAGACGACCGCGGCTCCTTTATCAAGTCGCAGAGCCAACTGACTACGGAGTTGGACGCGCTAGGTGCCACTGCACGTGGTGATGTCAAGGACACATCGTACAAGTCGAGTCCCTTCGATGATGACAATGGTTCTTTCTCAAGCGGCAACGGAGCCAGCATTGGACGTCAGAATCTCCAAGCATCTCATGATACGACGCCGCACCGGCAGGCCCCAGTCTCTCCAGTTGATCCTTCGGTGCCTCTATTCCCCAGCGATGGACGGGGGCCGCCTCATTATGGACGTTCACCATCGCCAATTCCCTACCGCGCCCAGCACAATGCTAGTCCGTGGCAGAGAGGGGCCGGGTATGATCATTAGAGGATCCCACTGCTATTTTTCTCTGAGCCTTGCTGGAAATGAAGTTATGGCGTAAGCGCGGGAGTGGACTGACCAATCGTCCTGTCCTCTGAACTCTGATATTTTCCTTTGACCCTTTGGTTGCTCATCCACCCTTTCTACCTCTTTTTCTTTTTGCTTCATTGTGATATACTCCAAAATTCTCTTTTTCAACCTCTATTGATCTTACTATATCCTTACTGGATGTTTTCTTTTTTCCCTTGCGGTTACAGCTGGCGTTCTGAAGCATCGGATTTGGATATCGGGACCTGGGTTTGTGGACTTTTCCCGAGTATTTTAGGGACCTAGAGTCGTTTGTGCTCTGCATTATCCGGTGGTGTATCATATCGCGGTTCCATGTATGAACAGGAATCATATTGCTAGAACTTGCGTGAGAGACGCATGGTATCCCCAACATGCTCATCATTATAGAATACGTCTTGTTGTTACCCCAACTAGATAGTAGCGTGAACTTATGTTGGAATGATATAGACCCGGATGATCCTCAGTTCGAGGTTTGAACGTAGATGCGTGTGGCAATGGTTATATTGCAGTATGATTAATCATTGTCACTAAATGCATTCGTATAACATCCTGTTAAACCACGCTGAAGTAGAACAAAAGAAGAATTCGTAGAGAAGATCTACCGACGAAAAATGCCCGAGTAACATCACAAGTAATACAACGCAATAATTAGCCCGAACTCAATCATCGCCTTTCACCTAGTCCAGGAGGAGGACCCGGCAGACTGGAGGTGTTCATCCCCGGCGGCGCTGGGGGACCAGACATACCGGGCCCCGGGCTGGGGCTGAAACCGGGCTGGCCCGGGGGAGGCACAGGAGGGAATCCCCCAGCGCCGGGAGGGGGAATCTGGAAATTAGGCGGGAACCCGCCAGGTGGCGGGACAGGGGGAAATCCCTGACCGGGAGGCATGTTGGCGAGAGGAGGCGGGGGAAGACCTCCTGGGGCGCCGCCTGCTGGTGGGGGGAAGGGAGGCGGGAAGGGGAGGCCTCTACCGCCGGGTGGTGCTATTGGGAGTGTCAGTATTAGAGTGGGAGTATAGTACTGGGATATGGAGGGTGTGGACGTACGAATGGGCATGCCTGGGGGAATTCCATTGGGACCTCCGGGGGGAGGAATGCCGAATGGAGGAGGTGGGAGTTGACCGGGGCGACCTAAGCCAGAGATATTGGTAAGACGGTTTCCAACACAAAGAGGATTGTCGATGAGCAGGGGTAATGTTCGCGTACCAGGGAATCCGAATGGTGGGGGAAAGGCGCCTGGGGGAGCCATGGCAGGGTTGGGGACAGCTTGGCCCTCGGCGGCATATGAAGACGTGATCGAGTCAATGACGGATTGTGCCTTTTCCTGTCCAATCTCTGTACCAATTGTCAGCATCATCAGTGACAGACAGTGGTTGGAGCGAGGTAGGACTTGTGCATACGTTGATAGTATTCCACCACGTTCCTCAAATGATTCCGACCCGAATTGTGAGCCTTACGCACGCTCATCGAGTCGTGCGTGAGATATACATCGCAGTAGTCACCTGTATACAGAATCCACCGTTAGAATCACTGTGCTGAGAATCAAGTCCGTATTGATAGACGATTCCTCTCGGATGCGCCATCGCCTCCGAGAGTCTGATATGTCCCGACGGGAGAGAAGACCTACAGAAGAGTAGAGCGGAGGTCAGCTTGGATTTTCACATTATAGGGAAGAGATACTTATATTTTGGCATTTTCAATTGTAGAAGCGATCGCTCTGCAATGGTATGGTAGAAGTTCAATGGGTGGCGCTCAAAAGGCGCGCTGCGCGTCGGACGAAGATTGTGCGCTGAGTCAACACAAATTTTGCTGGTCAATCGAGCAACTCTCAGATTGCAGTATAACTCTTGTCGTCTTTGTCAATAATTCAGTCGCAAAGTCGGGTTGTTAATCAAAGCAATTTGTCGCAAGTAAATTTAGCTACGGAGCGGAGAGATTCGATCTAACGGAGGTTATCAGAGCGGTGGAAAGTGGCAGAATATGATGCTGTCCTCAGGCTCGAGTGTCAAGGCTAGCGACGTGCCTGAGATGAACACCATGCTATGAGGTCGCAATAATGACGATATTCGGTCGATTATCTCAATCCTAGCTCATGCTATATAAAGCACTAGCTCGGAACCATGTCTCTCATGGCAATATGGAGGAATTGGGAGCTAAGTCTTCAAAACTGTTGACCATCACTCGTCCGACAGAATCAAGTCAACATCGCCTTACCATGCGCTGCACGTCCTGATGGAGCACGAACTAGGATGAATACGTAAGCTGAGCGAACAAATTGTTGTCTTACTATTACATTCGCATTGCTTCTCACTCAAAGGAGGATATCCCAATCTGGCCATATTAAATGACAAGAGTTGTCGAAGCTGTTTTGCTCATGCTTAGTAGATCAGTAGCGTTGTCTGTTCTCACAATGGATTTCTTCCTGAACCACTCTTTATAGTCAAGTCGATCTGTGGTTGAGCATCGTGAGAGATCCGGGGAACTTCTCTGATTCATCTCAGCTGTGATTCATGATGGCGTCGATGTATCAAGATGTTTCTCATGGACGGACTGTAGTGTGCTTCATCTGCTTCGCACTTGCAAGTCTCAAAACATCAAGATCAGAAATTAGCAGCTATGGCAGACACAAGCAGTTTCTACCAAGAAGATGCATTGTACAAGGTCGAAAGAAATCCAACGTCCCATGAGATTCAGGCAAATAAACCTTGCAAGGCCGACAGTCCAGCCCAGCGTTCATGCAGCAAGACCAGGGGGTGGCCCCGTGCAGTCAAGATCCTCGTCCCTGTTGCAGTGGTTGCTGCAGTGCTAGCTGGAGTCATAGTAGGCACTGTCCTAGGAACGAGGGATACTCGATATCCGGATTATTTACCTCTTGACTATTTCCTGGTCGACGAGTACCACCCATCCTCCTTCTTTGATCACTTCTGGCACTTCACAGACGAGGACCCTACCTATGGATTCGTCGAGTAAGTAAACAAACTTAGGCAATCTGCATTGAGCTCGCGCTTACAATCTACAGGTATGTCGATCGCAAACAAGCAGAGTCCCTCAACTTGATACACTCTACAAATTCCTCTGCGAGCATCAGAGTCGACAACAAAACCCGCTACGCGCCTCGAGGCAGAAAGTCCGTCAGACTCGAGTCCAAGAAAGGCTACGACACGGGCCTGTTCATCTTCGATATCATCCATACACCCTACGGCTGCGGAACCTGGCCCGCCTTGTGGCTAGCGGACACATACAACTGGCCGCTCAAGGGGGAAATCGACGTCCTCGAAACAACAAACAGAGCTACAGAAGGCAACGTGGTCACCCTGCACACAGATAAAGGCTGCAGCGTCAAGGGAAGACGGAAGCAGCTGGGCAGCGCGCAGTACTCGACCTGCGACGATAAGCACGGGAACGCGGGCTGTGCTGTCCAGGGTCGCCCAGCGACGTATGGGGAAGGGTTCAACGAGAATGGCGGCGGTGTATGGTTCCCGTCCTCTGCCTCTCAAGCCTCAAAAATTCTGACCCGTTGCAGGTATACGCGGTCGAACTCCGAGAAGCAGGAATTCGAGTCTGGGTTTTCCCTCGCGACTCCATTCCGGACGATTTCTCGAATCCGGAGCGCAGGCCTGACCCGTCCTCTTGGGGAGCGGCTCTGGCTGACTTTCCCAGCACGCACTGCGATATCCCATCTCACTTTAGCAACCAGAGTATCATCGTCAACATTGATCTGTGCGGCGAGATGGGCGCCCAACAGGAGGACTACAACGATTTGTATGATTGTCCGGCAACATGTGAGGAGTTTGTCGCTCGCAACCCGCAGAATTTCTCGCAGGCTTATTGGGAGTTTCGGAGTTTTCGGATCTATCAGACGATGTGAAGGGGGGTTCTGTATTTGATATCATTTTGACTGGCTGTACTTCTGTGGGAGTGATGGATTTTCGTGGTTATTTGATGACTTCTGCAACGGCTCGCGGAATCTTGCTATATAGGTGGACTTGCGGGGGTCGTATTGGTGATTGCTGCTCCTCCTGGCGTATGTCTCACGCAATTGATACCCGGTTTGATCTTCTCTCTACTTGATTGTTGGTGAGCGTAGGACTACTAGTGCGAGTGCTAGTATGAAAGCCTACCCGAACCCTAATGACAGGAGACTTTGCATAAATCACGCAAACTCGATGGACAACTCGCCATGACGTGATCTAGGATGAAACAAAGGGCTTCTACTGAGACCACGATAGTCACGTTCCCACTCCGCTCCAGCTGATTTGAGTGGCACACTGACTTTCGAGGCCTGTCAAAGCACCAAGCGGGAGATTAACCAGTCGCCAGGAACCGGGGCGGTCAGAACCCCAAGCCGGCCCCAGACCAGGGCATTCTGTTACTTAAGATTATGCCAGCTGCCGGGTTCTAGTCCTTCTGATCTTCAAGCTTTAGCTAATATTAATCATGACTTGACGACTCCAACTCCGCAGTGATGCAAGAGAAAGAAATGCCGCATATTGGGAATGTGTATGCAGTTTCGTGCAACTGTAACACTGGATGCTGATGTGCATGCTGGTGCTACACTCGTCACAAAATGGATCAGTGGAGAGTAATGGGGGATTTTTGTTGGGAAGGTGATCTCCGACTGGAGAGACCAGAAAGTATATTGTTCTGCAGTAGTCAGTTGGAGCATGGGGAGGAGGGGCTCACCAAACCCAAGTCCCCAGACAGTTAACAGTACTCAGAGACCCTCTCAAAATAGAGCAGGAGGATTTAAGTCTAGGGGGAAAAGGGATCTGCCACAAGGGGTTGAATACCCCTTAGAACGCAATAGATAATAATACATGAGATCACGGGGAGATATCACGGGATGCTGATCGCAGGCGGTGCCAGCATGACACTTAGGTACGTGGTACTGAGCCACGCTGGGCTGGGGGTGGAAAATCCGGGGAAGGCAATTTCCTATTTCATCTTGTCAGGCTGGCGAAGCCTCGGAGCGCTCGGTTTGAGTTGGATGGACCGGCCATTTGCCGGTAAGGTGATCCGGTTGCTGGTACTGGTCAGTGGTCACTCGGCGAGAACCACCAGTGACTGTTCGTCTTGGTAAGTTGACATGACGACTGGTAAAGCAAAAAGCGGAAGGCCAGTTTTGCTGGTGGGTGTTGGCAGAAAATTTGCTACCTCTCATGGGGAAACTAATTGGTGGAGAGCAGGGTGGGTTACAGAGAAAAATAGAAAGAGAGGGAAAAAAAAAAAAAAGGAAAAAAAAAAAAAAAAAAAAAATAGAAAAAATCATTTCCCTTTCATGCGTCATTTTCTGAGACCCACATCTGTCTGCAGTCCAGGCTTCTTCCGGTCTGGGGAAAGCTGTCCTCTTTGAGCCTAGTGTCTGTTCTCCTGTCGATTTGCGGTCAGGCCTGTCATAAGCCTCTACCACAGTACGGAGTATACCTAAGGTATCTGAAGGGGGCCTAGACAGAAAAGCCCAAGTATGATCGAGGTTGCAATTATGACGGTATCAATTACGAAATGGCTGCTTCCGTGAAACCGATGAGGATTGCCTCAGAATGCAGTAGATACTTGGTAGAATCCAAGACAGAAGATTCTAAGAGTCTTCATCCTTTTGCTGATCGCCCCTGACTTGATCTCGGCGCTAGACTCGAGCAAGGCTAGTCGGATCTACAAATGCCAAGCCATACAATTTGTCCCCTTCTACATCAGACCCCAAGACTATTGAAGACTCTCCTGAGACTCAGTGACGGGATGAATTATTGTCTTGCCATGAAAATAGTGCCATGATAGTAGGTCCATGACCAAGTGCTCATTCTCAGAAAGGGGTAGGTACAGGGAGAATATTCTGCAGCCTACTATGGAGATTAACGATGGTAGTTTCTACGACTAGAATGATGCAATTGTACCTCGATTCGGTACATGCGGGGTTTTTTCCATTTTATTTCTTTTTGCTTTGTCCGCTTTCTTTACGCCTCGAGAAAGAACCTTCACATAGTCCAATAACAATAGGCCATGTTACATTTATCTAATGCTACGTAGAATCTATTGTAGATGGTGAGGAACGATTGTCTGAGATTCCCCCATGCAGCATCCTCCAAATAAAGATGCCACGAGACTACCTTAATTAGATTTCGCCGCATGATCAAGCCTCCAGGAACTGCGACGCAATAGCCAACACAGAGGATCTGAAGCATCGCCGGGGACGGTGAGGAAATGGAATTGGAACAGTCGTCATTTACCATGTCTAGAACCATCTGCTCTCCTCATCGTGACCGACAGCTGGATTGCTTTGGTGGCATTTTGGGAAGGAGGCGAGCACAAGCGACTCGTGACTGGCCATCCAGGAATTTCCATTACCCCCAGAAAATTAGGGAGCGTATATGATTGGCTCATAAGGCCGTTTCTGTTACGTTTGCCACGCCGCGAAGGGACGGTGTGCTCGTCAGATGATCTCCAGGAATTTCTTAAAGCAGCAAGAACTG